GTTCTTTGTAAGGAGTCATGTCATATATTTTTACAGACTTTGAGTCGCGCTTATGTAACCTGCAGGTCTACACCTACATTCATGCACACAACAAAATATTAGATTCCAGGGACAAGAGCAGAGTCTCTGCAGGGAAAAAGTTTTTTGCACTCTTCACAATTTTTTAGAATATTTATAAACTAATTGTTTATAGAGTTGCAGAGCAGGGACACACTTTAAGATATACTTCCTGCCAGGAATAACACATGTATTTTTAATTCTTGTATTAATAGAGGAAAATGCCGCCTGCAGCAGATTCTCAGCTGCAGGAGCAAGTTAACAGTTGCCTTATCAATAAGACAGATGTGATGTGAAGGTAATTCACTGATTTGTTCATTCATCAAGCACATACGGGTCTGCATAGCGTGTTAGAAACACTTTTGAATGCTTACTGTGCAGGTGTCACTTAGCATGCATGTTATCCAGTGTTTTCTAAAGCAGCTAGTGATGACGATGATCAAGTATCTCAGCTGAGCCTCTGCAACCTGACACACTAAGGGGGCGGGGTTTGACACAGACACACAAACGTCCTCGCTCCTATATTGATTTGAAACTGAGGAGCATGCTGCCGAAATGTATAGGGAACGAGATTGGCAGCTTGTTAAGCCAAACTATTTTATTTGACTTCACAAAAGAAAAAAAGAAGCTGACTCTAATTGCGTGACTACAGTAGTCCACTGTGGGGCGACAGCCGGTGCTGATTGGAAGGCCTGCATGGATGGAACGTAAATACAGATAGAAGCACCGTTTTTCCATGAGCTTAACGGTACTTTCTTTACTGACCAATTGTGTGCAGGTACCAAAATATACCGATTCTCGCCTCTGTACCAATCCCTAACCTAAATGCTCCATGGTACACGGTATTCAGAGAGCGAAGGCATTGAGTAGATGCATTTATGTATAAAATATCACTAAAGTTAACAAGTCTTCTTTCTGCTGCTAACTTCAGCTTCTTTACAAGTTGCTATATATGATGTCACAGAAAAACAGGAGAGCCTTGCTGTCACTGCACTGAAAGGATAGTTTATAGCACATGGAACTTGAAGCGTTGAAGCCAAAAGAAAATAATGTAGTATTATTATTATTATGACTGTAGATTAAAAAAAAAAAAATGTGTGTTTTGTGTCAGGGTGAAAGCAGCACCCCAGAGCCCAAAGCCTACAGCGAGGAGGTCTGTCATGAGAACGGTCTGTCCTACTCCCTCAGTGACTCAGATACCGAACACCTGTCCAGCTCCCTGGAGGCAGAGCACCGGTAACTGCTAACAGAATTATACACATGCTTTCTCTGAATCACACACACAGAAAACTAAGCAGAAATGATTGTTCTTTCCAGGTTGTTGAAGGCCATGGGCTGGCAGGAGTACCCAGAAAACGATGACAACTTCCTGCCTCTGACCGAGGACGAGCTGAAAGAGTTCCAGACTAAAACTGAACAGGTGAGACACCCAGATTCACTGATTTACTTGAATACATGTTTAAAGGGCTATGAGAATGGGTCAGTTTCAATTTATTAATTGTCCAAAAAATAGACGGTTGGGAATATTAAAGGCCGTGGCATCACACATCAACAACAAACAATAGTACGCTTTGCAAACATGATGCAGGGCTGATGACACAACTTTGCTTTTTGTTTGAAAAATGTTATCCGTCCAAGAAAACAACTCTAGACAACGTATAGACATGGACCGGGGAGGGGCTCAAGGCACTGGCATTTGCTTTTCTAACTCATCAGAGCTTGTTAGCTTGTTTTACTAAGTGGAAATAGATATGCATTATTAATGTCCATATTAAAATAAAGTGCTTTGACTTGTGTCAACAAGTTGTTGAGTCATTAGCTCGTCAGTACAAAGCACCAGATGTCATTCTGTTTGAAGGAGAAACTGAAATTCACAGAGCCAAGATTTAAATATTTGATGGACTGGAAGCGTGCGATGTTTTGCGATGCGATATACTACACTATAAAATACGCGTGCTGCTAGGACACGGTGTCACAAGTCGGCTATATAAGGTCTACACACAGTTAGTCTGTCCTGAGGAAGTCATTTAGGTGCGATGTTTAATATGGTCCTAGTAACGCTGTTGTTTTATAAGCTTGTAATTCCGTTCCATTGTCATTCCATACCAGGTAGGTGTTCATCATGTTTCGTCCTTGAAAACAAGCCTCCACAACCAAGAAAAATCACAGGTGAAAAAATACTAATAATAATAAGTTAAAAAAGAAAAACATTAGAAACAAAGTGATACAGGTTTGAGTAAGTTTACCTGTAATACAATTCTTTTCATGAACATGGGGGTCTCCCAGGGATGAAGAAGGTTTAAAAGTCTTCCTGTGTGATGATTTCCGTTGCGTTGAGCAAAGTGTCACAGCGTACAGTTTCCGTGGACCTGTTGTAGGTCTGTCTAGTACAGGTCTGTTTTCACCATGTGGTGTTTGTTATTCCCCTAGCTATATAGGCACAGTAGTTGAGCTCTCAGCCTTCTGTAACATTAATAGTTGTGAGCTACACACTCACAGCCCAATTTACTCAAAGCCTCACTGGCCACCTCTGTTGGTCACTTGTTGTCTTTCATGAAGGAGTCTTTTTAATCAAACCAGCACTCCACAAGGTTCATACCACCAGTTTCTTAACATGCAGGATTATGAACTAACCAGCAAGAAAAGCTGTTTAAAGTGGTGCTGACAGTCTGGTCTGCGTTGTTATCTATCCCAACAAGTTTTGAGCAGTGAAGCAGCCACTTGCAATACACATTAGTTTTGGGGCAGGGGGGGGGCATTTAATTTTAACTCGGGTGGGATGCAGTGGGTGATGTCTGCGACTGCATGAAGGCGCATGTCTCAGCACCTTGTACTGGTATATTGGTCGCTCCGGTTAATCGGATGCAGTCTTTTTTTTTTTTTTGTTGCTGAAAATAAACTTATACACTGAATTTTATGGTAGATTGGTTTTCTTAATTGTTGACAGCTCTGATTTCTACATCTCGGTCACACACTAATCGTCCGTGTCCTTTGAGCAGCTGAAGAGGAACGGCATGCAGAAGAATGGGGCTCTCCCAAGGGCGCGGGGTGTCACCCTCCACTTCACCCCCTGGAGGAGTGTGGCGGAGGCAAACGTCGAGGAGGGCTCCGAGTCTGAAACCAGTAGCAGCAGCCAGACCTCCGACGACGACGACTGCATCAAATCCTAACGTGGCTTTACGGAACAAAAAAAAAACAAACAAACAAACAACAACACAACAGCCAACACAACATCCCAGCAAGCAATCCCCCTCTTCCTCTCTCATCTTTGTTTTTAGAGCACCATTTTGAATTTTCTTTTTCTTTTGATTTTTGTTGTCATTCTTGCACAAGGGAAAAACCAATCATATCCCAGTGAAGGGGGAGATTCCTGCTCCGCCAGACGTTGTTTTCCCTGCGTGTCCTCCTTCACTGAAGTCCCTGCCCTCTTTGACCTCTTCTCCACCCCTCCACCCTCACCCCCACCCCCTCCTTTTTCTTCCTCGCTTTGTGGAACTGAAGTGTTCATCAAGAAAAGAAGGGCAATGAATGCACACTTGATTCTGCTTTAAACAGACTAACTCATTTCATTGATGATGCTGATGACACATTATTAATGATATTAATAAAAATTGGTTCCTGACAAGCTGATATGTTTCAATATGAATCTGCCTACTGTGGTGTTTTTCTGTTTTCCTCTAAACCACTTTGAAACTTCCTCAGTGACCCCACGCTGACTTTGGACTTTTTCTAGCTTCATCATTGTTGTCAACCTGACTGTCAAAGTTGTGAATTTACACTAAAATGTTGAAATGTATATAGTTGCAGCTCCAGTATGTTCTTTACGGCCTGGAGGAGACAGTTGAGCATTTCCCACAAAAATCGACTTTTTGTTTAGAGCTGGAAATGATTGCTCTTCCATTTAAAGTGCTCGATTATGAAGATTACAGCTTTAAATCAGGACATGTATCCTGCGTTTCTGAATGAAAGCAGATAATCTGTTAAATGTTTTGCATTAAAGGGCTTGTAACTGCTATGTTAAACATAACACTTTAATATTACATTGTTTTGTTTTTTTACAGAAGTCATTGTTAGCAGGAAAAGCTCAGATGTTACTAACATTTAAGATGGCTTTATTCCGTCCACGTGTCCAACTGAGTGAAATGCAAAACATAGAAGTGATGAGCCGTGAGTTTGATCAGAGCCGTGACAAATGTTTATGCCTGTAACTTGTAGATGAGTCTGAGTGCATGCTTTGACTATTCACTGCCCAGATAGCCCTAAAATGATTGCAGGTAACTCATTTCAGTGTCTGAGACACTTGGAACACGCTGCTGCTGTTTCCCTGCAATAAAGACTCACAGCTTCTTCCAACAGTAAGGCCTGTAAGCACCACCAATGGGGACGTTTGTCAGATTTCACTCCCTCACAGGACATCGCATCAACCTGTGTAAACTGTTACAGTCCACATGCCAAAGCAGCTTCATAAACTAACTGTTCATTTATTAAACATTAACACTGTTGATATCTCCTCATTAAAGGGAGGAGCATCATTTTCAGTCAGGATAATTTCCAGCTTTAAGGATTTTCTTTTTGGGTTCCACTCAGTTGTAGCAACAGTCTCAGTTGGTTAAGATCCCCGGCTCCTGCAGCCACATGGCCAGACACTTCACCGCAAGTTGCTCCTGCTGCTTTGTCAACTGTCAGGTGTGTGAATGGAATTAGTAACTTCTGATGGTCACTTTACATAGCAACCTCTACCATCAGTGTGTGAATGTGTAGATGCGATCTACTGTAAAATTGTTTTGAGTTGTCAGAAGCTTGATACAAGATCAACTCTACCAAGATTTCCTGCCACTAATGATAAACAACTTGTTTATGATTGTTTGACAGACAGTTGACTTATCCATATAAGAGACAATAAACTCTTGCATTATAATTCAGACCAAGAAAAAAAGCCAAAGCAGCATTTATCAAATAATTACTTTATTGAACATCATAGTTTAAATGTGTACACACTTACATAGCAATAGACAGAACAAGATTTACAGATTTACATGTAGCAACGGTTCTCTCTTCTCAGGAGGAATCAAAAACCAGGAGGGAGTCCAGCTTTACTTACTGAAAGAGGAAACAAACAGTTCAGTGGTTATCAAACCTTAAACTATAATCCAGACTGAACCGGCTTTAGTTGCAGGTTAATGCCTGAATGAACGCAGCATCTTTTACCTCTTCACCTAAGCGTCTCCGTTGGTTTTAGCCTCTTGTTTTCCGTTGACCTGACCAGCATCCTGCTTCACCTTCTTCACCACGCCCTCCTTCACTGGACTCTCCTCTGGTTTACGCTGAAATACAGACCACTACATTATGAGGCAATTCTGTGCAATTCATTTTTAACTGTTGATAAAAACACCTTTGGGTCCCTCACCTTCTTCCTGACCAGGTGGGAGATGTCGGATGCTGCAGCAGTTGAGGCATGTCCATTAGTGGAGCTGACTCCATTAGTTGATGTTCCGTTAATCTGTGCAGAGAACAAACCAGCCGTTCATTAGCAAGGAACAATAACCGACGAGCTAATGTTAGATTTCTGCACGTGCAACTCAAAATAACTTACAAATACAAAAAGGCTGGGAAGGAAGCATACCTTTGAGCTGGAAGAGGAGTTTCCGTTCTGCACAGTGGATCCAGGGAAAGCAGAGGAAGTTGAGCCTCCGTCCTGGAAGAAAAAAAATGTTAGAATTAAACTTCTTCAAAAATGTCAATCATGACACTCAACCCCTTTCAGAACAGGCTGTTTCTATGTCTGTAGCTTTAAATGTAAATTAACTGTGCCCTGACCACATCCCTCTCCAAAAGGAGAGTACAAGACAGACTCAGAGGGCAGAACAAACACCTAGCTGTGGGAGTGTCACCCACCTGGGGGAGGGGTTACTGCCCTTTGTGATGTCACAAAGGGAAAATCAGCAAACTCCCTGTTTGAGCACACATTTTCTGAAAAGTGGAGCAGGAAAAAAGATGGAGAGGATGGATTTTTCTCATCTTTGGGGGGGTTTATAGACAGTGTTTGAAAAACCATGTTAAAGTGTATTTCACATAATATGTGACCTTTAAGTTTCACTCATTTTCTGGTGATTTACTTGCAGTTATCGAGTCTTTGTTGAAATAACATCATTCAGATTTGAAAAAAAAAAAAAGCAGCATGCTTTGCCAAGTCTGTCCTGATCAGAAAAAGAAAACAACAAGAGGTTTGTTGAAGGTCAGATTGATCTTTTCTGATACATTCCAAGAAGTCTGGACATCTAAACACTGATTGGCTTTCAGGACAACATCAAGCAGATTACAGTGTGATGAGAAAAAGACTGTTCAATGTGCTGCATGAAGAGAGAGTTAAGGTTTGTGTGGTGAAGATACATAAACCTGTAAATTGAAACTTAAAACTATCTTCCATATGTGACGATAATGACTAAAGGGTTTTCAGGAGTACTGCTGTTCTTTATGACCTTAACTGTGGTTGTGCATATACAAGCACACGTTGCCTCTTCAAAAGTATCCCAGAAAAATAAATATATATTGGCAGAGCATTGTGAGTTAAAGAAAACAAGCCAGTCCCTGACTCACCAGTACTCCCTTCTCATCAGCAGCTCTGCTCGTTGTTTTCTGAGCCTCTGTGGCGTCCTCCACCTTCTCCTTGATCTCCGGCAGTAGAGCCTTCAGCTCCTCCATCTCCTTCCTCTCTTCGGGCAGAGCCTCTGGCCCCTCCGCCTTATCCAGCAGCTTCTGAAGTTCATCTGTCACACAGAGCAGGAAGGTAATCATACATGGTCTGCGTTTGACATACCCCCTTCCAAACAGTTGGGGTCTGCCGTCATTAGGCCAAGACAGAGAGATTCAATCTGATCAAGCGGCCTCAAATCCATCAGCGGTGTAGCTCCAGCCTACAACTCCTACAACCTCACTACTCTGCAAACCCAACCACACATTCATAGATATACATTTACAAAGAGAGTGAGATGAAGGTGTATATAAGTTCTCAACACCATCCATTAAAACTTTGTTTTTTTCTTTATGTTCTTTCCTCTAGCTGTTCTGTGCATTTGATTCTGCTTTGATAGCGTCTAATTATTTGAAACCGTCTCACCTGTCCTTAAACAACATGTTTTATACTAGGGTTGGGAATTTCAAGGTACATGCATACAATAACTCGCAATAAAATATGCTACATGGCCCATAGCAACGCAGTGTTTCCCCTACCATTATATTAGGGGGGGGCGGCCCCCTAATGATCTGTTGCTGATAATAAAAAAAGAACTAAAAATATAACACTTGCTTCTCCCTTAGTGAAAAAAGTCAGCACACTCTACTCACCGAGCCTGCTCTTGATGACGGAGATGGAGCTCTGCAGCGACTCTATGGCCTGGCTGTACTGCGTGTCTAAGCTGTAGGTCACACCCAGCTGGTAGTGAGTCTCAGCAAGAAGGCGGCTGTCGGGGTCCAGGTGCTTCACCTGCAGTTTCAGACATTCCTGGAAATCCTCTATCGCCTGTGTGTAGTTTCCTGAAGAGAGAAACAGCTACTGAAGACCCGACTTCTCAAAAAGGACAACATCAGTTATCCAACAGGCTGGAACACACTATTATTAATAAACAAATTTCCCTCAATAAAGAGTAAGTTCTTCAATTTGTAGTACAATAAGATGTCATTCTTCACATTTAAAATAATAAGAGGCTGATCTCTTCTGGTGATTTAAATCTTTATTTTTGAACATCCCTGATGTAATTAACTTAATTATTATAATAATGCTTGCCCCCTCAGAGATTCATACAGAACAACAAAAAAAGTCAAAACATAAAGAGTTGTCTGGCAACTTGTAAGTACCTGATTCAGCAGAAACTTCGCCAAGTTTTAAGTGAGTCTGAGCTGCCATGAGTTGATCCTCTTTGATCTCTTTCCTTATTACAAGAAAAAAAAAAAAAAAAAAGGCCAGTTTGGAAACTGTAGCTAAATCAACTCAAATCATCAATCAATTTAACCAATCACAGCTCAGCACAGTATTTTTGTTTACCTTTTGTAGATGACCTTAGCTACTTCCAGCATCTCCCAGGCGAGCTGCAAGTTCCCTACTTCCTCCTCTTCATCGCTGTCCTGAAAGACAGAAGGGTTTCAAATCTGACCCCTTAAATCACACACTCAGACGCATTGTTTTGATTTGCACTTGAGACGATTGCTTAAGTACCTTCTCTGCAGTGCCATCTCCTTCACCCTGATCCTCTGCGTCACACTCCATTTCTTCATTCTCACCATCATCTTCCTCCTCCTCCTCCTCCCCACCGTCTGAAACATCAACATATGTTTTAATGGGTCAACATGCCATTAGAAATAATAGAACGATATTTACAATCAAGGCCTGTACCTAAAGGACAAATGAAAAAGCAAAAAAAAAAGGCACATATACCTCCTTCTTCATCGCCTGATTCTTTTTCAGCCTCCTTGTCCTTTTCTGTCTTTTCTTCACTTTCAGATTTGGGTTCATCAGTCTCGCTCTTCCTTTCCTTTTCTGCCTCTTCCTTTGTTTCCTTCGGTTGATCATCAACACCTTCTGCCTTTTTTACATCTTTTTTCTCTTCATCTTCATTCTGCTCCACTGCCTCCGAGTCTTCTTTTTTCTTCTCTTCCTCATCTTTTTTCTCCGCCATGGCGTCGTACACCTGAACCCTCAGCTCATCTCGGGTCTTCTCTGTTGAAGATACAGAGCACATTTAAGACTAAAGCTTAGTCAGACAGTACACAAATAAGGCCAAGAATAACTGATAACTCATGTATTATTTCCCCTCACCATCTACGTTTTCTGCGCTGTCAACATTGGAGTCCTTGGGTTTGTCTTCGTCCTCCTCCCCCTCAGGTACTCCTTCCAGAGCATTACCCAGGACTGAGTTCTCCATCCTACAACAGCAACAACAGCATCAATTTAGTCAACATTTTAGAAATGTTTCAAATCGGATGTGCACATTCCTAAACTACACAACTCTATAACAAAGACCTTATATCTATATCTTCATAAGCTTACCGAGCCAAATCTAGCAGAGCTTTACCGCACCAGTAGAAAGCCTCTCCGCACTCGTCTGCTGTGTCCCCGTACTTTTTAGCTCTGAAATTGAAATAGATGAAAAGTTACAATTTGATTTCAAAAGGAAATACACTTCCACATTACAGCTTAAAATACTCAACAAAATAAAAACTAAGTATTCAATTCATTTTTATTGTATCAATTCTGTGGATACTTGAAACTGTCCAGACCTGTGTTAAGTTTTTAAGTTGTTTTTTTTTATTAAATGTGGAAACTATTATAAAAAGGGATTACCTAATTGTATTCCTTGATACACATTTAATTGTGACACTCATAATTAACCAATTTCTACAAAACTTTAAGAGTAAAACCCGCTTAAAGACCGATTCACAGATGATTTATGCCAGTTCAGTGACTCTTAATGACGTAAGAGTTCAATGTGATTGCTATTCGTTAATGCACACCTGCACACCTTTATGTAAATACTGATGCCAATAAATGCGTTTAATTCCCCCCTACATTTAATTTACAATTTACCGGTATAATCGTCGTGTAACTACATCTGATGCTGATGTTAGCTGTTGCTGTGTGTGTGTGTAATTAATATAATTGCTGATAGGTGTGAGAGCCTAAAGCGGTGTCTTCTGTGTGCTCGTTAACTCACAGCATGCTGCAGGCCTCCTGCAGGGCGCCCACCGCCTCCACCACCTTCCCCATTACAAGGTGCTTCTTACCGGCACCGATCAGCTTGTTGGCCTCCTCCATGTTAGCAGCACTGGACAGAGAGAAAGCCATTATACCACTTTAAAAACTTTAAAGAGTTGGAATCAAACATTTGCTGAGTCTGTAACCTCGTTTAGCATCTTATTTTCTGTCTGTACGGTTTAAGCATTCCGTACCTACCTTCAACTTCACCGGGATAAACAAAGAAGACAAAAAGTAAAAAAGTACAGCCTGATGGTTTTTGTCTCAGCTTCTCTCTTCCACCGTTCAGACCGACTGCTATTGTTGTTTCAATTTGGCGCGAAATATTACTGCCCTTTCCGGTAGATTTTCGGGTTGAGAAACCAGCGCGGGAGATTTCTTAAAGGCGCAGAACAAACGTACTACTAGCACTACTGCTAATGCCAATACTACTTTAACTTTAAAGCAGACCAAGGTGCACGGACTGTAAAGGTGGCTCAAAAATGAAAGAAATGTGAACAAAAATAAAATACATAGACAAATGTTGAAAGAAAAAAAAATGCAAATAGTGAGATCGTTAAAAAAACAAAACAGAAAGACACCAGCTTTTTATTTATTTTATTTTTTAAATTGGTGATAAGGTGAACACAATTAAACAACAATATATAGACATAACATAGACATGACAACTAAAGCAAGAACAAACAAAGACAAAAAAAATAAGAATAAAAATAGATACAAAAAAGCAAAACATAAAGACACCAGCTTCATATTTCTATTTAATTTCTTGTAACACCATCTTGTTTTTATTTCTAAAATGTATTGAATGGCTATCTTTTATTTATGTTATTAAGTTAATTTAATTTGTATCACTTATTTACTTGATATTTAATATTTTGGTATAAGAACTAGGGCCTACTACAACCGTTATATAAAACAGCTTTATCAAAGCTGTTCAAGGATAACATCGATGGCATGGGCTGTATTAGTGATACAGTGCAGGTGTGTGTGTGTGTGTGTGTGTGTGTGTGTGTGTGTGTGTGTGTGTGTGTGTGTGTGTGTGTGTGTGTGTGTGTTTTATTACACAAACAAAGGGCTGCTGCCTGCTGTCATACCCTGCTGTGAGGAACAGGGCTGGTACATATCCCCTCTGTGCCCTCCTGCTGATTCCTCTGTGTTACGCCCATTACACCTCATCAAGTCTGCACTTGTCGTCCAATCAGTCTCACACTGAGACAATCCCACTCAGCACGCTCAGCACCCTCACCATGTCATCAATAAAATCATAGCTTCAACAGCTCTAATTTTCAAGCAAAAAATATCCACAGAACACACTTTGTGTCCTCTGACAATTGATACATTTTACGCAATTTGTTTGAGACCTGAGTTAAGCATTTAATGAAAAAGTCAATTTCACAGAACATTGAAGGCTTTATAAAATATGTCTGATGGTTATCATAGCATAGGCCTTACATACAAACTTACACCCTGCTACAAACCCTGTTTTGTAACATGATAACTTGTTTCTCACTTTTATTGGGGACACAGGTTTCTAAACATTTCAGTATATTGTGCTGTTAACGTGTTTTAAAAAAAACTAACTTAAACATAGCGTCAGCAACCAGTGTTAATATAGCACCCACAAAACAGCCTGCGGGCAAAAAGTTAACCCTAACTCCCCTCCCCTCTTTGAAGTATTTATGCTAAACTAAGCTAAACTGACCTAAGCTCAACTGTCAGCTGTAGATTCATATTTACTTTAAATACACGAGAGTGATACAATCATATTATTTAATCATCAAATAAAGGGAAAAAAAAACAATTCCCAAAAATGTAAGAGGTAGTCCAAGAAAAAGAAAGTCTTTATTGTTATTATACAATTGTACGAAAATTAGAAATGCACAGACATTGGAAGGGGGGGATAGTAACATCACATCTTATGAGACCTGTTGCTTGTATTTGCAATCAATCCACCATTGAGTGGAATATGAATATGTAAATGAATTTTGGGAATTTCTAAAAGAGAATACTTTAGTACATTCATTGACAAATATAAGCTCAAATGCTCTGCAGCAATTTTTACATCATCATTTTTAGAGACCCGTTTTGTTAGTTTGCTTGATAAAGGCAGGATTATGGACTCACCACACGAGTGGCCTTCAAACATGCAGATGCTTTGGAATAAACAGCAGATTCACGAATAATGTGCATATTGTGCGACAGGAGATGAACACACAGAGACGTTTGATCAGAAACCCACCGCTGTGCTACAAACAGGAGGTTATTGTGTGTCTCCCTCTTATCTGGCCCTTGATGCAGTCTCCATGGCAACAGTAATGCAAAGACCCACTCACTGACAGCAGGGGATGAGGGAGGGTGAAGGGGCTGTTAGAGCCCCTAATAGCCTCGCTCTGTGCTGGTTACATATCCTCGGTTGAAATTGAATTCTCTGCTAAATAATGAAAACGTTTTTTTTTTTTTCACCTTTCAAATTATTGTTTGTAAAATACAGTATGATATACTACTTTATTTTCCTCACATACACCATCAGCACTGTCTTAGATATATTTTTTTCCACTGTAAAGTGACAAGATTTCAGTTCACTTTGTCAGAAAATAAACCCTGGCTAAATAGTTTTAATCAACAGAGAGAATTAAAAAAAACGTTTATGTTAATGTAAGTCACTGAGAAACTTTGCAATAAAAAATTGGGAAATTAAATGGTAAATGGATTTGAGCTTATAGTGTCAAAGCTTATTGAAGCTCAAAACAAGACTCAAAAAGAAGCACATTGAACAATGTTTCCCAAATATTTTTGTAATCTATAACACTTGAAGAACTTTTCAGTCTACACTGCTGCTGTGTGAAAATGCTAATTCAAACATGCTCTTCCTCGTCATTAAGTAAATAAAGAAGTGCTGAGGAGGAAATGAAAAAGAAAATGCCTTCTGACGCCCACAGAATTAGTACAAGATGTTGCAATAATGCACACCCTGTACAGAAAGAGTAGACATCCTGGAGGGAATTACAGTCAAAGCCTACAACAAAGTCTTGTGCAGTAGTTTTCTGTAAGGTTTGAAAATTGGGAGATTATTCTGCATGGTCTATATTGAGACTGGTGGCGCAAGTGTTTTCATGAGTGGGACAGTTAATGAGTAAAGCATTAGTAAGCTGCAACACAGAGTAGAGGTTGTAGTAGTAGTAGAAAGTGTTTCTTTTTTTTGTCTTTTCATGATGACAATGAACTGGCTCCTAAAAGGGTCTGAGTCATATGACGAAACCTCATGACTCTTTGATCCCTGCACGCCAGTTTGCTCTGATGAAACCTGCGATACACTTAAATCTGTAGGCTAATTAAATCAAAGTAATGCATCACAACTTTTAGAAGAGCTAATCAAGAGGTGGAATGTTGCTTCAACTTGCTGCAACATGTATTATTACTGTAAATATGAGACTATTTCCTGGAGACCTTTTCTTCCTTATTCTGTGGTGTTCTCACAGGAGCATACATTTTTCCAGGAAAGTGATGAGGAAAAAACTGCAAAGTCATGCTGAGTATTGGAGGGTTGAGCCTAAGGGATTGGACTGAAGTGGGCACTGGTCTCGTTCTGATCTGTGTTATCGCGAGAACTGTCCCGCTGTATAAATTCTCTGCCAGAGCTTGTCACTCAAAGCACTTTTCTATCTCTCCCTTGCGTGGTGTGTTCAAAGCTAAGGTATGTGTTATGAACTATATCTAAACTTTAATTTTCGATTTAAACTTTGTTTTTATGTTTGGAAGTGGTCAGTTGTTCGCTTTATGTTCACGTTTGAATGTTTTTAAACCGCGTAGCTGTTCCAGTTCAACAAGTGGCTTTTAAGAAATTATTTTCTTGTTACTGAAAACCGACAAGGTATTTTTAAAACTAAAAATGGGTAAAGAAAAATAACGATACTTACAGCTTTTATTTGGCCTGAAATGTTTCCACAGCCAAGACCAGACTGTAGCTCAGCTAGTCGACACTAAAGTCTCAGAAGAAAGTTCCTGATTTTGGTAGATCTAGTCTACTTGATTTGGATGTAATTCATTAAGTACCAAATAAACTACACTTATTAATGATCACTGAAGTAACATTAAAAGTCCTGAAAACGTGCAGGTCAAATATGTAGGCCGATAGAAAAATATTTAAAATAAATATCCATATGCGGAAACACCTGTAAAAATTAAAACAATGAAGTGAAACTGGCTCAAAAGTTTCGTTTTTTTTTTTTTTTTTTTGTCGATTCAGGATGAGACTAAATGAAAAAATATTGACATCAATCTGTGGTGTTCGGTTTTAGGCTCAGTAAGTGCATCTTTTAATTTCATTAGTTTTTATGGCTGGAAATTATAACTTGAGTCATATTACAATGTATTATATACACCGTTTTAAAGGTGCATGCTTCCACCTGCCACTGACGATAGTAGTAATAGGAGTGACTTCTCACTCATTCATAAGGCTTTGCTGCACTCTTCATATTTTGGCCAAAAGTTTTTTCCAAATGTTACAAAATTGTGAACATGCCCATCCTAACTTCCTCAAGTCTATGAGTCCAAGTCGATGCTAACAGTGATTTAGTTTTTCCTGATTGGCAGGTAAAACTTAAAGTTTGACAGTTTACTTACAACCTAAAATTCAAGGCAGCAGAGCCTCATATCAAAGAAGCTGGTACAAGAGAGAGTTTGATAGTATTTCTAAAAGAAAAGACAAGTTCATCCATGGAAAAAAATAGAGTTTCCTATTAATGTTTGCCTGTTGTTAACTGTGAGTACATGCTTTCAACTTGAAAACTACCGTATTAGATAATTCATAGAAAAAGATAAACAGGATATTAATGAGCTGATTAATAATCCGATTTGAAAATGCTTTCATCTCTTTTTCAGTCTTTTTAAAGAATGAACAACATCTCAATTCATCTCTACATTGATCAGCAGATCAGTTTATAAAAAAAAAATACATAAATACTCAGTGCTTTCAGAAAAACTAAAAACCATTTATTTTGTTTCCACAATTTTTATTTTATTTTAAATAAAAGAAACATAATTTCCTCAAAGAAGGATTTTGGTTTGTTGTGATTTGAGAAGAGAATGTTTAATCCATATTCTGTGTCCTTGTTCTTTACTCCATTCAGACTGAAGATGTCTGCAGGAAAGGCACAGATCGGGAAGTTGGCCCCAGACTTCACAGCCAAAGCGGTGATGCCAGACGGACAGTTCGATGACGTAAAGCTGTCAGACTACAGAGGTAGACCTCAACCTGTCTTTCATCCTCTGATTAGTGGAAGCTTTGATGGCCGACTGTAATTCAATGCAACAAAAATACTGAATGGATGAATGAATTTACACTTCTGAAGACTGAAATAATTTAGCCTGTTAGTACTGTGTGCACGTCACATGACAGACACACTAACCTTTTTGTTCTGTTTCCCTTTGGTGTAGGGAAATATGTCGTCTTTTTCTTCTATCCGCTGGACTTCACTTTTGTGTGTCCGACTGAGATCATCGCTTACAGTGATGCTGCTGACGATTTCAGGAAGATCGGCTGTGAGGTCATCGCTGCCTCTGTCGACTCCCACTTCTCCCACTTTGCATGGTAGATATGAGGCTTTGTGTTTTTTAAGCACAGGGACTGATGCATTCACTCGTGTAACACTTTTTCTTTTTGGTCTTTGTTTTCAAAAGGACCAACACGCCGCGTAAGCAGGGCGGGTTGGGGGCCATGAAGATTCCCCTGGTTTCTGACACAAGACGCACCATCTCCACAGATTACGGTGTCTTAAAAGAGGATGAGGGCATCGCCTACAGGTGGGAATATATTCAAATACATATTCTTGTACCATTTCCAATATTTTGATGTCTTCATTTGTCTACACTGAGTACCCTCAAATACAAGTGCAATGAGAAGGATATGAATATTTGTAATATTTTCAACAGCTTTATGGCAACAGGCCAATGTCAGGATCTGAATTCAGGTCAATGTCAGGTTGTGACATCAGCCCAACGTTGGGATGTGACGTCATCCCAACCTCACACTCTTACCCTTTATTAATCTAGTTTTATCTATTTGATTGTCCTGTGGCCTGGCTCAGTAAACATAAGGAATCTGTGCTTTATAACAAGCTGAGCTAAGGTCAGGGACCTCTTGGAACGTGGGTCATCCTGATGTCATTAGTCAAGCAATATTGTTTTGTGACATGAGGACATAAAACGATTCTATTTTTTTCTTTAACGTTTTATTATCTTCACTGAAATTTGAAGAAAAAAAACTGCCTTGAAATGTGTGGTAGTAAAACAGTGATTGATCACATTTAGCTATTAAGCTATGACTAATGTCATAGCTGTTGACAACATAACATTGTTTTTCTGTATCCTTGCGTGATCATTTACCTGAATGTACTTCTTCTTTGCTGCTCTAACACAATAAATGATAGTGGCGGCCATAATGTATTTTTTCCTGGGCCATTGTTTTGGAAATACAGGAACAGTTTGTTTTTTGGGGGGCTAATAAATGATGGTAGATAAACCATGCGTTGTCTGTCATACAGGCAGATACTTTATACTGCATTTTACACTGGATCACAGCGATTGTGATATTGGTAACTGTGTTGGAACGACTATGGGTGGTTGATATCATGTAGATTTGGTCCGTTTCAATAGAAGGGTGGAAGCCAGTGTTGATTGCTGTAACTTTTTCAGATAGATCATACAAGAACAACCTGAACGATTTGTTGTTCCAGACAATAATTGAACACGTTTTCCGGACTGCGCTGAATTATGGGCCGTAAGTCCTGAAAAGACAAATGATCTGCTCTTGTTCTCTATTTAAAGGGGTCTGTTCATCATTGACGACAAGGGCATCCTGAGACAGATCACCATCAACGACCTCCCAGTGGGACGCTGTGTTGAGGAGACCATGCGTTTGGTCCAAGCTTTTCAGTTCACCGACAAGCACGGAGAAGGTCAGTTGATGCTTGTTATAGGTAAATGTATTCACTGCATCCTGCAGCTGAAAATGTATGTTTATTGAACATTTCAGTTCCTCAAAGACTGAACATATAGTTGTATTGAAAGTCGATCTGTCAACACAATCTAAAATCAACATTTATTTAAGCTGTTTGAAATAGTGTTGATTCTGTTAGAGCAAACACCATAAAGGCTTATTGCACTTTCTTATCAGGGCTGCGGTTAAGATGAGCTTTACATTTTCCTACTTAAAGACAGCAGGGGCGATAGTATATGTCATACATGTTTGTCATATTGGCAAAAGTCTTTACTGTCTCATCTACCGGGCCAGGACTCATTACAGGCTTATCTTTTCAGTCTGCCCGGCCGGCTGGAAGCCAGGAAGTGACACCATCAAACCAGACGTCCAGAAGAGCAAAGACTTCTTCTCCAAGCAGTAATAAACCCAGGGCCAGAGTCTGCAGCCTGCTGTAAGAGATTTCATTAGAGATTACTTTTCCAGACAACAATATTTAAGACAGCTGCTGTGCCTGCGGGGGATTGGTTCAAACACTTTTTTTTTTTTTTTGTGTTGTTGTAATTATGCTGTGTGTCTTATTGTCTGTGGGGTTTAATAGTGCACTTGTGACCAAAGTATGTCATTGTGTTGTTAAGTTGTGGTAATTTAACTGTACACCTGCTCAATGTCTGTTTTCTCTTTCCTACCATTCCTTACAATTATGAAAAGAGAAGGACCACACAAGCTTTTTTATTTGCAGGAAGCCACAAAACGCACACTCTGATGTGTTTTTGTTACTTTTCCTTTTTTTTTTTACAGTGCACAAACCACGTTCTTTTATCACAATAAAGATAACGCTTTATAACTCTCTCCTTCAGAATATATCTTTCAAAGGAAATCACAGTTTAGATGTGTTAAATATTAACACTGCCTTATATGTGATCATTTTCTTTTCAATGGAAGCCCTGTGTTATGATTATTTATGACATCTGTAACATCTGTTAATCACTACCTTAAAGAAATATAATTAACAGTATGAGATTGACTAAAAAAAAACAATCTACATCAAGAGGAGGATAAAGCTGAATTATGTTACACAAATCCTGTCTGGAGTTGAAGTTTAAATTATGTATGCTTTACCAGATATGATTCTCAGGCTGCCAGACAGGTATTTAGGCTGTTTGGATACTCTTAGTTATTACAGATTTTAACTGAACACATTTGACTGACATCTCCCTGACCCAACTTTATTAAAGCAGCCTACCTTAAGAAAAAAAAAAACCTCTGAATATATGCAGGTAAGTGACTAAAGCACAACTTTGTCCATCCTTTAACCTTAAAGTAGTCTTATTGTTAGGCTCTACAGAAATATCAGTGTGTTGTCATGGCCTTTGGATGTTCTATCAAAAGACCTTAAACTTAGCAGAGAATTTTGATTTGTTATTGCATGGTGAAGTTATTTATTATACAATAAGACATCCTGTCTGTTGGGTTTTGTTGGGCGGAGTTAAAAGTCTTACATGGTCAGAAATAGGCTAACACAAAGGGTTAATGATATCTGTTTAGGCATACCAGTCAGTCAAAACCACCTTACTGTTATAGATCAAATGTGAAAATAATACAACAAATAACCAACTAAAAAAAAGAAAGCCATGCAGGCAATTCTGTGAATTAGTGTAGTGGTTCTTAAACTTTAAGACCTTATGGCCTCCATGTTTAAATACAAATAAGACCACTAACAGTGTTGATATTTTTCCCATTGTTCCCAATCTAATGAATTAATCTAATGAATTTTGCTTGAAGATGTAGGCTATCAGTCGGCTACAGAAAATGTATGAAACCTACCACCAATTGTGATAGGCCTACATTACATTCTGCCACTTTATTACTTATGGATTGAATGATTGTGAAAAAAATAAAATAAAAAGGTCAGGGGACAACACTAATTTCACTGACCCCACTTTGTTAAAGTTATCAAGTTATACCGGATTCACTTTGAAAGTATTTCAAAGTCTTTCAATGAAAGAGTAATATTAATAGCCTATTCCGACAATACTACAACAAAGTTGTTATTATGTACGAGTGCTTATTGTCTCAAAGAAACAGTCATTCATGTACACAGCCTTTGACTATGTGTAGCCTCATATTTACAGTCTGTGTGTGTCGCTTACAACAAACACACTGAGGGACATTACTGTGCAATCATCTGTGTGTGTCGCTTACAACAAACACACTGGGAGACATTACAGTACAATCATCTGTGTGTGTAGTTTACAACAAACACACTGAGAGACATTACAGTACAATCATCTGTGTGTGTAGTTTACAACAAACACACTGGGAGACATTACAGTACAATCATCTGTGTGTGTGTAACTTACAACAAACACACTGAGAGACATTACAGTACAATCATCTGTGTGTGTAGTTTACAACAAACACACTGAGGGACATTACAGTACAATCATCTGTGTGCGCAAACCTTTGGCGGGAAAAACAGAAGAAGAAATCTGAGCTTCTGTAACTTTAAAACCACTAAGAAATCACTTTACAATATAAATAGACTTAAAACTTCTCAGAGCAAAATAATAATTCAGATCGAAATAAACCTTTATTTTTCTTTTAATGCTCTGGTTCTGAATATTTTAATGTATGTATTAATATAACTAGCCTCGATTAATTAGTCGTTAGCATTTGAATGCTAAGTGCTATCCATCAACAACAGAGGAGAAAATGGCTTCTCGGAAGATGCGCATGAAGAAGAGCAAGGAGGAAACTGCTGAGGTTTGACCACTCTTACATACTAATAACGATGTTACATTTAGAGTTTGACTTGTTCCGTGTATATATTCATTTGATAATTATTAAAACAATGTTTCTGTCTGCTCTAATTAACACTTAATGGAGACAACGGCGCCATCATGTGGCCCTCAAGTCAAATTAAACTGAGCTGTATTATAACGTAGATGTTGTATATCTGTTTTAATAAGTGGACAGGGTTGTTTCTGAATGACTTGAAAACCGAAAACGAGTCCCTTGTGTTCGTGAAGAGGATGATGGCTGTGGCCGTGTCCTCCATCACCTACCTCAGGGGGATTTTCCCTGAAGATGCCTACAGATCCAGATACCTGGAAGGTGAATACAGACTAGTTAGGAGCCAAGAAAAAAACAGAGATCATCACTAACTTGTTTGATTACAATCCTTACAACTGTCAGTGTTTTCTACACTTTGATTCTGGCTGTATAATACAGGAAAATAAAACATTTTAGATTCTTCAAACACGTGGAGTAGCTCCAGAAACCTTTTTGAAAATAGACTGAATTTCTAAAGAGAAATAGTGGTTATCATTACTCTTTATAAAAGAGTAATAGATGGTGTTTTATTGTGTGTGTTGTTTGCCTTGTCAACAGATTTGTGCATCAAAGTTCTGCGTGAAGACCGAAACACTCCTGGTGCCAGCAAAGTTGTGAAATGGTAGTGAATATCTTCCTTTATTAATGATTTTAGACACTCTACTGAAGAACTTCATGAGACATCATCTTAATCTTCAGGACCCACCGTTACCCATATTGATAATCATTGTTTTGTAGATGAAGACAATTTGATCTTTCCACCTGGTTAGTCTTGTTTTTTTTTTGTCTCATCAGGATCATGGGATCCTTTGATGCATTGGAGAAGCAATATGTGAGTAAAGGCATCCACGAATACTTTGAATTTGTAGTGTTTCACCTCATCTGCCATCTTTGGGGGGAAAAATGCCAGTCTTTGATTCATTTTCCATGCTTTTCCCTTCATAGCTTCAGATTGTATTCATTGGGGTAAGTTAATTAAGTCAGTGAAGCGACATTTATAATTATACATATTGAATAGAAAAAAAAAAGTTAAAAACAATAATTCTGTACATGTGTTGTAATGCAGGTGTACACCAATCCAGATGAACCAAATGTGAGTATCCTCTTAATAAACTACAAAATGAGTTGTTAAGATTATAAACACTAAAAATGTGTAAGTAAATCATAATTCCAGCATGCAGTCTGATCCACTGATTGAAATATTTAGATGTATTCTCTTTTTATTTCAGTGCATTGTTGAGTCATACCAGTTCAAATTCAAATACACCAAAAAGGGGCCAGAGATGGACATACTCAGGTTAGAATGGATGTTTGTTTTAATATTGTAAACTGGGCGTCAGCGTGAGGTCCGTTTTATTTCAATCACGTAACATAAATGATGGGTCAATTACTTCCACGAAATTGCAGGAACAACGATGTGGAGGTGCAGGTGACTCTGGAGGACACCAAGAGAGCCTCAGTGCTGCTCATCAGGAAGCTCTTCCTGCTCATGCAGAACCTCGAGGCTCTCCCCAACAACGTCTACCTCACCATGAAGCTCTACTACTATGACGACAGTAAGGCAACTCAATGTGCAATAAATCCTCGCCTAGTTGTTTTCTCATTGCATTGGTCAAGTTTTTTTTTCTCCTCTCCTTTCAAAGTCACCCCAGCAGATTACCAGCCGCCGGGCTTCAAAGAGGGTGAATGCGACAGCCTGTGGTTTGAAGGCATGGCCATGCACTTCAAGGTGGGTGAGGTGCAAACGGCCTTCCACACCTTGAGAGTCCGAGTGTCAGCGGAAAAAGGCCGACTGGAGAAGCTGCAAGAGGGGAACCACCTGAGGGAGATCAAGCGGACTCCTCTGACAAATCCTCCAGAGAGGGAAATCATCAAGGTTGGTTCAGAGAAAAGAATATTTAATCGCAAATTTTCAGGGTTTTTTTTTTTTTAGCCAAGTTTATTATAATTGTCTGTCTATGCCTGTTACAGGATCCTCGTCAGAAAAAGTATGAGGAAAAGGACCCGCCTTCTGAAGACGGTGAGTTTATGAGCTGCTACTGTTGGAAAACTTAAACGTGTTAAAAGATTTACACTGTTGACTTTCTTTTAAACAGAGTCTGCACAGTTCAAGAAACCTAAAAGACCTCTGGCAAAGGTACAATAGATTGATGATTATATGAAAGTATGCAGGACACATATAAATAATGAATTGTAATGCATTATGGTAAACTGAATAAGTGATTTTCTCTTTTCATTTAGGGAAAAAAAGCATCAAAGAATCTGTCGAGGAAGAAGAGGAGGAATTAGCTATGCGGCGAAAAACAAATGTAACACAATGTAAAGACAAACATTTGATTGCATTGTTAAACACTGTTTAGGGTTATGTTCAAACCATCTTCATATGAAAATATGTTTTTATATAATTTCTTCTATTGTTAAGACAAGCTGGTACTTTCACAGTTCTTACGGAAACAACACTGTATAGAAATGTGCATATTGTAAACAATGTGTAAGAATTAAAATATATTTAATGTTCAAAGTGCTTCATTGTTTTAGTATTTTGTGAATACATTTATTTGTTTTGTTAAGGATGTAAAGCTTGATTTGTAAACATTTGTTTGTAGTACAACTCAACAAAAAATATGACTCTGTAATGTATGACATGTCAAGCAATAAACATAAATGAAAAGTAGAAATTATAATATGTGACTGGTCTCTATGCTTAAGTAGATGAAACTGATCGAGGGTTCAGTAAATACTAAGAACAATCTTTGATTTAATCTATTTGCCATGATGACAGTAAAATGTCCACTACCCCATGTTTCAGTGGGAACCTCCCTCTGATCATCGGGTTAAATTTACTGCCATTTTCAAAAAATACTGAAAAACAATCATCACATCAGCTCCTCAGATCAAGGCTCGTTTTCATCACTGTGAAGCCCTTAAGTTTTTTCCCTGAGTGACGTAAGTGTAGTTCAGATCGTTTCTCCAGACCAGCTTCTTTCAGTCTCTGGGTCCGTGATAAAGCTCCTTTTTCCTTTTCCCGTGTGTGTATTAAAATAAGCTGTCCACATCACCCATCTCCACAAACACAGTCTTCAACTGGGAGTAGTGCTCAATTGTCACCTGGCCGTTCTCCCGTCCTACACCTGTTGAAAGTAAAGATTATACGTTTAATTATTGTAACAGTTCTTTTAGATAAAGGACATCCTGTTATGGGGCTGTATTAGACTGCAGAGCAGACATAATGTCATAATGTTTATTTTTCTCTCAGCCTCTGTTGATTTAAATGACATGGTCAGGGACGTCTGAGTGTTGGTCTTCGAAACAAGCAACAGGCTGTACCTGACATTTTGAAGCCTCCAAAGGGCACCTCCACAGGAGTGATGTTGTAGTTGTTGATGAAACAGGAACCAGCCTGGAGATGTTCCACAACACGATGGGCTCGCTTCACATCCCTATAAAAAAAACATTAAAAAACTGTTAAATAGATATAACACCTTAAGGTTTAATGCCTCCACCAACTTATAAAAATGTATGTACTCACGTGTTGATACGACTGAATATATTTGGATTTGAACTTGAAAGAATATACAAACCTAAAAAATACAACCAGAGAGCAGCTCTAACACTGTCAGTCTGCAGAGCATGAGATTGTCAAAAGATCCTTTTTGTGACAGTAGAACAAACAGAAAGGTTAAGAAATGGGAGATTGTCCACTGAGAAATATCGATGATAAAATCTCATGTATTAAAAAAAAACTCCCTTCACTTTGACTTCCAAATTGTAGTCAGTTTATCTTTGAGTCAAAGTAAACGTTGGTGCCAAATGTGCAGATATTCCCTCCTAGTATTGAGAGTTATCACAATCATAAGAATGGGACGCCTACACATTATAATTCCTTGACCAGTTGACCTGCATTTTATTTCCCCTTTTTAAAACTTATTGAAGCAGTTCATCATTTATCCTGTGAGACATTTCTTTGATATTGGGTTGTAATTAGTATTTGAAGAGTTATGGACAAACTAATATGTGGAAAACTAATGTTATAATCTTCTACAAAGTCCACATGCCTTAATTATTCATGTGTGTTCTTCAATCCAACCATCAGTCATTTTCCTTTTTCAGTGTTAATCTAGACTCTTCAGAAAGCTAGAGAGGCACATGATTGAGAAGTCAGATCAATTACCCCGTGAAGGTGCACTGGATGTGTCACCACCAACTCACCTGGTGAAAACTCCTGCAGCCAGACCCAAGGTGGTGTCATTGGCTCTCCGCAGCACCTCCTGTTCTGTCTCAAAGGACAACACGGACATGACAGGGCCAAAGATCTCCTCCTTCACACAGGTCATGTCATCTGTACAGTAACCTGAAAGTAGAGGGAAAAAAAGGCAACATTTCCAGATGTTAATGAATGAACAATGTGTTCATGTTGTTCAGTAATATACCAAAAGTAAGTAAACACTAAACAGTCTTGTTCATCTTTTGAACACACTCTATTAAAGAATGACATTTTGGAAGTCCTACCCAGCACACAGGGAGTCATGTAGTATCCATCTTTGAGTTTGGGATCTGATGGGACGAAAGGTTCACCCCCACACAACACTGAAGCCCCCTGGGAAAGCAGGTCTAAATTTTAAACAGCTGCTCAAAAACCTAAAAGACATACAATTAGATTGAGATAAAGCAAAACTAATCTGAAGTGATCTTACCTCTTTCTTTGCCTGATCAACAAAGGACAGGACGTTTTCCAGGTGAGGCCGACTGACCAGCGCTCCCATTCGGGTGCTCTCCAGCAGGGGGTCACCTATCTCGATGGCACGGGTCCTCTTCACCACATCCTCCACAAATTGAGGCAGAATATCCTTGTGAACAAAGACTCTTGTACCGTTGCTGCATACCTGTGATATCAAATCACACAAAAAGAACAAGCTCGCATTTTGTAAGCACACAAAAGCAGCTGGAATAGAACTCAAGCATGATATCCTAAACTGAACCGACTATGTACCTGGCCTTGTGACAGAAAGTTGGCCATGAGAGCTCCGCTCACAGCGTTTTCCAGGTCACTGTCCTCAAAGATGAGCAGAGGAGATTTCCCCCCGAGCTCCAGCGTCACAGGTTTCACCCCTTTTGATGCCATCTCCATAATCTGTGGGTCAAAGTCTTGTGAACAAATATCTTTAGATTGTTCTGGTTACATCAATGGTTAGGACACAAAGACAGAAATATTTTACAATTCCCACTCATGAGCGGTATGAACCTAGACATTTTTATGTTCAAGGTTTTATCTTTATTTAGACGGCAGAGATCATGAGGGCAACTCTTATGTAAAATGAAATGGAGCCAATTATGAAATCAAATAAAAGACAATAACATCAAGACAAAAACAGAGAATAGAAACACCACAGCTGGCTGAGTTAAACTCAAATTTTCCAACATGGGCGATAACTCCATTTTAAAATTAAGATGACTTAAAGTCAAATAAAACAGAACAATGTGAGACTTTTTAACAGATTTAATATAGTAATTTGATAATAAACAACGTAAATAGCGTAGGGCTGACCTTTTTGCCGGTGGGCACACTTCCAGTGAATGACACCTTAGCGACGTCGGGGTGGTAGCAGAGTAAGCTGCCTGTCTCCTGGCCGCCCTGCACCACATTGAACAGACCCTCAGGAGCTCCAGCAGCAGCGTACACTTCTGCCAACAAGACGGCTGTCACAGGAGTCACAGGTGACGGCTTGAATACCATGGAGTTACCTGTTTTAGATGATAGAGTCAAGACAGTTTACATTGTTTGAGGTTATACATTTGGCAAGCCTGAACAATAGATACAGTTACCTATTACAAATACATCATTGTAGTAAAAAAAAAACCAGATATGGAACAGATAATGTAGCTGTAGTTCCACCTGTTGGAGAAGTGCCATCATTTTTGTTCAGGATTACTCATGACTAATCTCAGATTACAGACTCATCTGATAAGTCTTTGTCTCTCAACCAGAAGGTTGAGGGTTCCATCCCCAGCTCCTGAAGCCACATGCCCGATGTGTCCTTAAGCAAGACACTCAACCCCCAATTGCTCCTACTGCTGCTTTACTCTACAGAAATAATGTAGCATCTGTAAAGGCAGGACTTTTCTAAATATCTGTAGTATGGTTGTAGCCTGAATAGTATTAACCAATCATTTGTCAGCAGGTTTAGGTGTATGCAGGAAAAACAGTTTGCGTGGAAAGCAAAAGCAGAATTAACACATCCGCTGTAATGACCTCCCAGCTATCATCAAATTGACAACAATTTATTGATCTCTACGGACAGATATCTACCTGCAAGAGCAGCCAGCAATCCATTCCAGATCACACATTTTAACTTGAGCGAACAATCTTCTTGATGCTGTGATCAGTGTTTAGATTTCCCAACTTCCTGAATGCATCAGAAATAATTGAGCCTACCTCCATTAAACAAACGAGCTTTCTAAAAGTTGTTTTATTTTCCTCGTGAGGACAGACCTGACCTGATAAAATTTTACTTATTTCAAATCTGCAACACTATGCTGATATTTCTGCAAACTTGCGACCAAGTTAGCCAGATTGAAATCTCTGTGTGACTTCTGCTACCATTTGCAGTTTAACTGTACAGTTATGTGTGTAGGTAAAAAAAGAAGGGCTTGAGACTCTGATTGTGGGTGACTTTGCTGTTAAAGATGTACAAAGGATGTGCGGTAAAAACACAGAAGTACTGTGTTTTCCCAGGGATATGGTCTCTGATTTAGCAGAAAGGATCCTGCATATTGTGGCTCAACATCCGACTGTGAAGAATGTCATACTACACATTGGGTCAAATGATGTCACAAAACAACAATCAGAAGTCTTGAAGCAGGACTTCACTGTTCTGCTGAGGATGGTCAGCCCCTTGGATGTGGATGTGTTTATCAGCGGCCCCATACCACCGGTCAGAAGAGCAGAGGAGAGATTCAGCAGGTTGTTAAATAACTGGCTTACAACTGCATGTAATGCCCATTTCAGTGAATTTTATTGACAATTTTAACCTTTTCTGGGAACGCAGACATCTTTTTAAGGCAGATGGATTTTGCCTGAACATGTCAGGGGTGAAACTGTTCACCTCTAACCTATTTTACTCCCTGCCTCAACCATCAGTTCTCTCTGCCAAGGACATGAGACGAAAGAAAACAGCTTTCAAGAAAGACAAAACACAGCGGGATGAAAACCTTCATTAAGAATCACGTCTGCCAGTATCTGAGGAGAGATATCGGAACCAAGAGGAGGGGTCTCCACCCACCTTCGACCCCCTCGCCAACACCAACACCTGTGAAGTCTCACCGCCCTTGCCCCCTCGAAACCCCCGATCAGATCATCATCTCCCTCCTCCTCCTCCTACCTGGAGTTCACTGACCAGATGAAGGAGCTGGTCAATGCTGGATTAAAAAGTACCTCCCGCCCTTCTCCCTTTTTCACTCCCATAAACACCCGACGGCGCCCCGCCCCCCCGTCCCTCCGCGGGTGCGTCATGTTTTGTCTCCTCAGCTTGATAAGGATGAAATGCAGAACATTCAGAGGTCAAACTGATCTGTGTTTTGGGTCCAGGCTGCAAGGACATCAGCAGTCATGACTCTCTCCAGGATAAGCCGGGGCCCAGCACGTCAGTAGGTTCCAAAATCTCTGTGATGATAGGTAATAGAA